TGAATTAATAGATTTTACTGTGTCCAGCACCTTTTAAAGCTCATTTCTTTCAATTTGGGCTCCAGAGGCATTTGGCTTTTCCACTTCTGCAAGGACCTAAGCTCCTTATGATGCCCTGAAAGGTCTCATGTGGCCTGCCTCTCCACGCAAGGCCGATCTGTCATTTTGAGCTCCAGGATCTCTCTCTCTCTCACACACACACACACACAGCTAAATGAGTAAATAACACCTATGAAGCACTCAGACAAGCCTTTGCATAGGATGGGGCAAAGCAGGTTTACAGTTGTGAGTACACAAAACACAGGGTTTATTCTTATACTATTATTAATTAATTATTGTATTATTTTTTAATATGAACAACTTTAAACCTACTTTTGCCCCATCCTACAGATTTGATATTCTTGTTAGTCTGTGTTCAGAAAATATTTACTGAGCTGCCTACTCAGTGCCAAGCAGTATGTGAGGCTCAGGATGCGATAGTGAGCGGAGGAGATGTGCAGGGCTCACTCCTCCCTGCGCCCGGAGAGTGGGGGCTGGGGGGGGGGAGAGGCTCAGGTGGAAGATGAGCGTTTGTATAGGGGTGAGTGAGGGCTCCCAGAGGGGATGCGCACGGGAGAGGGACTGAGGGGACAGGAAAGAGGTGAAGGCCCAGTGAGGACAAGGGTTCAGGGAGAGGGAGAGATTGGAAGTCGTGAGGAGTTTGTGGGTGTGTCTGAGGGGTGTGGCCAGGATGTGGTGGGGTCTCTGTGCGGGGCCTGGAGTCTCAGAGAAGGGAACCCTGGAAGGGGTCAGGGGCTGGTGATCAGGAAGGGGTCTGCCATCTGCAGAGCTGTCCTTGGGGGGGCTCCCACTCCAGCATCACCCCCACCTCCCAGCATCTACCCCCATCCCAGCATCACCCCCACTCCTACATAACCCCCCCTCCCAGCATCACCCCCCCTCCCAGCATCACCCCCACTCCCAGCATCACCCCCCTCCCAGCATCACCCCCACTCCCACATCACCACCCCTCCCAGCATCACCACCTCTTAGCATCACCCCCACCTCCAGCATCACCCCCCCTCCCAGCCTCACCCCCCTCCCGGCATCACCCCCCTCCCAGCATCACCCCCCTCCCGGCATCACCCCCCTCCCAGCATCACCCCCCTCCCAGCCTCACCCCCCTCCCAGCATCACCCCCCTCCCAGCATCACCCCCCTCCCAGCATCACTCCCCTCCCAGCCTCACCCCCCTCCCAGCATCTACCCCCATCCCAGCATCACCCCCACTCCCACATCACCACCCCTCCCAGCATCACCCCCCCTCCCAGCATCACTCCCACTCCCAGTATCACCCCCTCCCACATCACTCCCCCTCCCAGCATCACCCCCACCTCCAGCATCACCCCCTTCCCAGCATCACCCCCCTCCCAGCATCACCCCCACCTCCAGCATCACCCCCCTCCCAGCATCACCCCCCTCCCAGCATCACCCCCACTCCCACATCACCCCCCCTCCCACATCACCCCCACTCCCAGCATCATCCCCCCTCCCAGCATCACCCCCTCCCAGCCTTACCCCCCTCCCAGCATCACCCCCTTCCCAGCATCGCCCCCCTCCCAGCATCGCCCCCCCTCCCAGCATCACCCCCCTCCCAGCATCACCCCCCTCCCAGCATCACCCCGCTCCCAGCATCACCCCCACCTCCGACTGCGGCGCAGGCGCGACCAAAGCTGCTTCGGCTCAGCTCGCGCTGGGACTCGGCTTGGCCGGCCGCAGGCAGAGGTGAGCGCAGCCCTGCTCCGCGCGGCCCGCCCCCCCCTCCCCGGGGGTCCGGAGGGCCCCACTCCTGCCGCCCCCCAGCTCGGGCGGTGCCCAGCCCCGGGTGCCTGGCCTTTGGGGGGGGAGGGGGCGGGACTCGGGGAAGCAGCCGGGCAGTGACCGCTCCAGCTCCCGCGCCCGAGACCCTCTGGGCGGAGGCTTCCAGGACTCGGCCCGCACACCTGCCCCTGAAATCCCGTCGCCCTCCCGCCGGACTCAGTCTACCTCCGGGGAAAGGAGGCGTGAGTCTCGGCCCGGGGCTGGGTGGGCGGCCAGAAACCCTGGCGCTGTGGGGCGGGGAGCCGGCCTCATTTCCCGGACTCACCCCAGGGGGCGCCCCCTCTCCAGGCCTCAGCCGCGCGGACGCCGGAGTGGGCGGGCCTGGGCGCAAAGAAGAGAGACTCCATCTATCCACCCTTCCTTCCTTCCTTCCTTCCTTCCTTCCTTCCTTCCTTCCTTCCATCCACCCACCCACCCATCCATCCATCCACCCATCCATCCACCCATCCATCCACCCTTCCTTCTTTCCTTCCTTCCTTCCTTCCTTCCTTCCTTCCTTCCTTCCTTCCATCCACCCACCCACCCATCCATCCATCCACCCATCCATCCACCCATCCATCCACCCTTCCTTCCTTCCTTCCTTCCTTCCTTCCTTCCTTCCTTCCTTCCTTCCTTCCTTCCTTCCTTCCTTCCTTCCATCCACCCATCCATCCATCCATCCATCCATCCATCCATCCATCCATCCATCCATCTATCTCCCGGCCCTCGCGCACTCGCCTTCCCCCCAAACGCCTACTCTGCCGCAGTCTCCCCCCTCTCACCCTGGAGCCCCCTCTTCTTCCTGATCCCTTACCTAAGCTCCTGCCCGCCCCCCCAGCGGTTTCTATGGCAACCCTCCTCCCGGGTACACGCGGTGTCCTCCGCGTCCTTTCCCTCCCCGCTCCAGACCCCTAGGCCGCCAGACCGCCTCCCAGCAGCCCAAGCACAGGAGGGGCAGGGAGGCCGGCGGGAGGCGGCGTCAAGGTCACCTTCCTCCTCCTGGGCCAGCAGGATCCGGTGATCGAGTGTATTGGGGGGAGGAGGACCGTTAGCCGCAGGGGAGGAGCTAACCCGGGCCCAGCATCCCTGAGCCCTCCCCCTGCCCTCTCCCTGCGGGGCCTCCGTTCATGGTCGCTGCTGCACTAACTCGTGCTGCCCTGCAGTCCCCATTCATTCTCCCTCCCCAGCCACGGTGCCCCTCGGCCCGGCGTCCTGCAGTGGCCACGCCTCCGGATCTCTCGTCCTCTTTCTCAGCTTTCAGTCTCTGTCTTCCCCCATTCTCTGTCTATTTCTGCCCCCCCCCCCCCTCTTTTTTGCCTGAATTGTGGGTAAGGACTGTGAAGAGCTGCAATTCATAGACAGGCTTTACCCACAGCACCCCTGGGACTGGTATGGATCCGTGGGGACCCCAACACACACTGTGGCTGTCTATACGTGTGTCTCTGTCCGCTTGTGTGTGTTTGTATGCTTTTGTGTGTTTCTTTGTGCTGTGTGTGTGTTGATCTGCATGTGTCTCTGTGTGGCATGCTATGGGTGCCTGTCTGGGTGTCTCTGTGGTGTGTGTGTGTGTGTGTGTGTGTGTGTGTGTATGTGTGTGTGTGTGTTGGTGTGTCTCTGTGGTGTGTGGAAGTGTGCAGGGATTTGAGGGCCACACCGGACTGGGAACGAGAGAGGCTGGAAATTTGTCTTCCCCGTCAGGGTAAGCTCATTGCTTTATTCTGCCTGAAGCTGCTCCGAGGGGCTGAGGGCCAGCCTTGGAGGTGGGAGGGCAGGGACGCAGCCTCCGTAGCTCTGCCCCCACCTCCGACTTTGGTGCTAGTTCTGCCTGTGCGCGGATAAGTACCTCTCATTTTTTAAAAAAAAAATATTTTATTGATTTTTCACAGAAAGGAAGAGAGAGGGATAGAGTTAGAAACATCGATGAGAGAGAGTCATCGACCAGCTGCCTCTTGCACACCCCCTACTGGGGATGTGCCCGCAACCAAGGTACATGCCCATGACCGGAATCAAACCCAGGACCTTTCAGTCCTCAGGCCAACGCTCTATCCATTGAGCCAAACCGGTCCCGGCTAGTACCTCTCATTCTGAGACCTCAGTGGCTCCACTTGTGAGAAGGGGGGGCTTAGACAGGACTCTCTAGAACCCTAACAGCTGCTGAACGTGATAGGCCCTAATCCCAAAGGCCCCAGACTTCCCCCGCCTGTAGAGTCAAGATTTCTTGGGACTTGGAGGTTGTTGCCTCCTGAGGGGCAGCCCCGGGGAGGGGTCTTTTAGGGCCTTGGAGTTTGTGGAGCTCTGACTGCAGCCAGGACAGCTACCCCCAAGAGTACCCTACAAGGGGGGCGATTTTGAGAGAAGATGGGAATGAGGACCTCTCACTCCAGATATGGAGCTCAAAAAGTTCAGGGCAAAATAATAATAATTTAAAAAATTACAGTGATAATAAGCGCAACAGCTACCAGAAGACACAAGAGCTGCTCACAGCAGGTGTAACCATTAGCCCTGTCTTACAGGTGAGGAAACGAAGGCTTAGAAAAGTGCAGGCAACTTGTCTGCGGTCACACAGCCAGGAAGTGGTGGGTCAGGGATTCCAGCCCAGACAGTGAGGCTCCAGAACCCACAGCCCCAGCCACGCGTGGCCTCCAGAGCAAACGCACACCTTATTTTTTATTTTTTAATTTTATTTTTCAATATATCTTATTGATTTTACACAGAGAGGAATTGAGAGGGACAGAGAGTTAGAAACGTCGATGAGAAAGAAACATCGACCAGCCACCTCCTGCACCCCCCCCCACCGGGGACATGTCCACAATCAAGGTCCATGCCCTTGACCGGAATTGAACCCAGAACCCCTCAGTCCGAAGGTCGACGCTCTATCCACTGAGCCAAACCGGTCCCGGCTGAATGCACACCTTTATCGACACCTCCAATTGCCAGGCTCCGGGCTAATCCCTTCAGTGCACTGGCTCATGCACCAGACACCAGGAAAACCCAGGCCAGGGTTCCAGAAGGCCAGGGTGGGGTATCTGTGAGTGTGAGGGGTCTTCGAGGGGAGGAGTGGGTGGGACACAGGGATCCAGGAGCCTGGGAGGGTCCCACAGGCAGCTCTCGCCGGTCCTTCCCTCTGTCCGCTGAGCCCTGCCTATCCTACAGGACACCAGGATGCCGAGCCGTGGCCGTCCCTGTGGCTGCGGTCCAGGCCCCAGTGTGGAAGGCGGCAAGTGGTATGGGGTCCGCTCCTACTTGCACCTCTTCTCCGAGGACTGTGCAGGGGCCGCCCTCAGAGACGACCCCGAGGGGCCTTCTATTCTGTGTCCCCGTCGACTCTGGCCCTTAGTGTGCTGGAAGGTAAGGCCGGAGGAGGAGCAACTCTGGTGATTTCCTGTGGCTTTCGGGAAAAGAGGAACTCAGGGGATAGGAAGAAAAGGGATGGCGTAGCAGCTAAAGGTCTCGCATGGTCAAGCCATAGAAAGCCCAGCTCGGATGGGTTTGATCTATAAGGGGGAAATGCTGCTTATGTTCTAGAAGAAATCAGAGGTTGTGCGCCTTCAGGCAAAGTTTGATCCAGCAGCCCAAACCGTCACACCAAGGGACTCAAGATTTCTCTTAGTCTTCAGGCTTCCATGGCACCCCTCACTCCAGCTTCAGGTTCTGCTCCCCAAAGGCTGCTACTGTGCTGCCCCTCAATCTTCTGCTCCACACCACCCAAGGGAAATCAGAATTTCCTCTGGTATTTCCTCCAGAAAAGAAACAATGCTTTTTAAAAAATATATATTTTACTGTGGTGGTTGTTTTTTTTACAGAGAGGAAAGGAGAGGGATAGAGAGTTAGAAACATCGATGAGAGAGAATCATTGATCAGCTGCCTCCCGCACACTCCCCACTGGGGATGTGCCTGCAACCAAGGCACATGCCCTTGCCTGGAATCGAACCTGGGACCCTTGAGTCTGCAGGCCGACGCTCTATCCACTGAGCCGAACCAGTCAGGGCAGAAACAATGCTTTTTATTTCTAGAAGTCCTGGCGAGTATTGCATTGGCTCAGACCGGGTCACTCGCCCAGGCCTGAACTAATTACTGCAGCCAGGGGGATCGTTTATGTTGACTGGCAGGGATGGGGGTCCATCCCACTGAAATATTACTGTGCTTCCCAGCGATGTAGTGGGGATACTGTTTCCAGGGCAGTGGAAGATGTGAGAGAAACAGTTGAGATCCATATCAGCCAGGTAGGTGGTCAGTCAGGGCGCCCTGTGTGGGTAACGGTATGGAGGTGGCAGTGAGCAGAGTTCTGAGAGTGGGCATAGCTCTTTGGTCAGCACTGTAGGAAGGCCGAGGCAGAGAGTCCCTCCCTTCTGCTTTTAAAAGGCTTTATTCTAGCGGGGAGGGGAGGGGCCAGTCTGCACCCAGTGAATCACAGCCTCAGGGCAGGGGTGCAGAGGATGCTGGGAGAAGACATGCTCTCAGCACCTATGGTGACCAAGGAAGATTTCCAGGAAAGTCAGTCCCTTTTTGCATTTTTTAAAAAGCATCTTCTAACTGCCGGGCAGTGTGCTAGGCTCTTGGGGACACAGAACTGAAGAAGACATTGTTCCTGTCCTCGAGGAGCTCCTAACTGTGGTTCATTTAGTTATTCTGCCAATATTCACTCGGCTACAACTCTATACCAGTGCTGTGCTTGGCCTGGAAGACACCTCGGGAGCCAAAATGGACACAGTCTGCTCTCGTGGCTCTCATAGCTCTCAGGGTGATGGGGCAGGCCGGCGTCACTTACATGGTGACCGAAGTACATATCCTAGTGTGCACCGAGGTGAGGTCACTGGAGAGTGAATGGGCAGAGCGTTTGCAGAGGGTAGAGTTAGGTGACTCGACCCAGTTCGGAGGTGTCCTGGAAGGCTTCCCGGAGGAGGTGAGGTTTGAGATGATATCTGAGGGATGTGTAGGAGCCAACCAGCCAGAGAGATAGAGATAGAGGGTAGATGGGGATAAGACCCGAGGAATGATGGAGGGGGACTCAGGTTGGCAAGGAAACCCCACTGCTAGGTGGGAGCTGGGAAGGAAGCGAATCCAGAGGCCTCAAGATCCCAAACAGAACGTGACAGTGTTAGGTCCTAGCGGGTGTGCTCTGTGACTCCCATCTCTTAAGGTTGGGTTAAGGGGTTACCTTTACATCCAGTTGGGATCCAACGCACCCTAGGGGATCCCTTAGCCTAGGGCCCCCGACGGAAAAACGGACGCTGACTGCTTCCCGATCTGTCTGCCTCTCTCCAGTTCTGCCTGTTCTTGGGGACCCTGCTTCTGATCATGGGCGTGGCGGCCCTGGCTACTGGCTATACCGTGGCCCCCAAGCTGGAGGGCATCGGAGAGGGTGAGCTCGTGGTGCTGGACCAGTGGGCGGCCGACTACAACCGGGCTCTGGGCACCTGCCGCCTGGCGGGCACGGTACTCTGCACGGCAGCCGCGCTCCTGCTGGCCATCTGCCTGTTCTCGGCCGTGACCGGCTGGCTGAGCCAGCACACCGAGGCGGAGCCTTTGGAGGCCGAGGTGGACAGCCACGCGGAGGTCTCCGGGGACGAGCCAGAGCAGCAGCAGCTCTCCCCCATCTTCTGTGATGCCGACGGCCACCCTTGGTTCTCACCGCCCGCCAGGGCCTTCAGGCAGTCCTCCGTACAGGCCACCCAGCCCAAGTGGAGCTTTTGAGCTGCCCATGGGGCTGGAGGAGGCACCAGACCCAGACGCTGGACCCCTCCTCCTCTTCACCACAGCCCACCGTCTCCTGAACGTCTCCCTGTGAGCAGGGACCCTCTGTCTACGCCTCCAAAAGGCTCGGCTCCGGCTCAGCAAGTCCGAAGCTCACGTTCTCATGCCCATTCCCAGGGGGCAGGGCCCAACTCGCCCAAGATGCCAGCCTTCCCCACGTCCACTCAAAACTCCACCACCCCTCCTTCCCTCCAAAGCATCTCCCTCCACCTGTCCCACCCTCTTCTCTCTGTGGCCACGCCCCTTACCTGTTCAGACCACCCGTTCCTGCCTCTGAAGGAAAGGAAGTTTGGGCCAGATTCTCGAGTTCCATGATTTTCCTATTCTCCCCGGATGTAAGCATTACCCTCTCTAGGCAAAAGTGGGTGTCATTCTCACCCACAGACCCCGCCTCTCTCAGCTGCACAGGATGCCTCAGGATGAGTCAAAGATGCTCGTTGGAGCTGAAACGGGTTTGGCTCAGTGGATAGAGCCTCGGTCTGCAGACTGAAAGGTCCCAGGTTCGTTTCTGGTCCAGGGCATGTACGTTGGTTGCAGGCACATCCCCAGCAGGGGGTGTGCAGGAGGCAGCTGGTTGATGTTTCTTTCTCATCAACATGTCTAGCTCTCTATCCCTCTTCCTTCCTCTCTATGGAAAATCAATAAAATATATTAAAAAAAAAAACTTTAAAAAAAAAAGATGCTCGTTGGACTTCCTGTCCAGGATGGCGCAAAAACAGTTACTTCCTGTTTTCTTCATGCATTTTGGCATCAGAGCCTTCCTCCCTGTCCACCCCACCCTGGGCCATCCCTAGCTCCAGTGCACAGAGGAGGGGCTGTCTCCTCCCGGGCCAGCTCTTGTTCTCTGGCTGTGGCAGGGCCCTGGGTCCTCCTGGCCTTCCTGGGGCCCCCAGGGGTTGGGGATGGGTTCGGCCCAGAGAGACAAGCTGGAAGCCTGACGTCCCAGGTGGCTAAGAAAATACTTCGAACACACATTTAAATGGCCCCTAAGGGCCAGGGGGCAGGAGAACTAGGATGTCTTTGTTCCTCAAGTCCCACACACAGCTTTGCTGGTGTGGCTCAGTGGAGAGAGCATTAGCCTGCGGACTGAAGGGTCCCCGTTTGATTCCGGTCAAGGGCATGTGCCCAGGTTGTAGGCTCCACCCCCAGTAGGGAGCGTACAGGAGGCAGCTGATCAATAATTCTCTCTCATCATGGATGTTTCTCACTCTCTCTCCCGTCCTCTCTGAAATCAATAAAAATATACTTTAAGCCGAAACCGGTTTGGCTCAATGGATAGAGCATCGGCCTGTGGACTGAAGGGTCCCAGGTTCGATTCCGGTCAAGGGCATGTACCTTGGTTGTGGGCATGTCCCCCATGGGGGGTGTGCAGGAGGTGGCTGGTCGATGTTTCTCTCATGGATGTTTCTGACTCTCTGTAAAAAAGTCAATAAAATATATTAAAAAAATAAAATGTGAGTCATCTTTAAATATATATATACTTTTTAAAATATATATATATATATATTATTGATTTTGTACAGAGAGGAAGAGAGAGGGAAAGAGTTAGAAACATCGATGAGAGAGAGTCATCGATCAGCTGCCTCTTGCACACCCCCTACTGGGGATATGCCCGCAACCAAGGTACATGCCCTTGACTGGAATCGAACCCTGGACCTTTCAGTTCCCAAGCCGACGCTCTATCCTTTGAGCCAAACCGGCTTCGGCTAAATATATATACTTTTAAAAAAGAAGAAAATGAGGAACCTTTGTAATAATATGAACAATAAAGATTGATTTAAAAAAAATAAAATAAATAAAAAAGAAAAAAAGAGAGAGAGATAGACATTAAACAAAAAAGTCCCCCCCTTCAAACCATCACCCACTTGTGATGCATCATCTCCGTTCTCTGCCACCAGGGGGAGCTCCAATACAGCTGGAAAGAGACCTCGGTGGGCACCATCACTACCCTCTGGGCTCCCTGTCACCACCAGCCTTGAGGCCACCTTGAGTGTGTGTGTGTAGGTGTGGAATCCCCAGTCCTCCCCCACCAGGCAGGCCCTCCTGCTCTTGATGGTCTCCCCATTCTGCACCTCTTCCATCCCACCTTCCTATTCAACAAACAGCTGGGGGTAATACTGATTTTGCTTCTCTTCCTGACCACTGGGGTGTGGGGAAGGAGGAAAGAGACTGTCTTGTGTGCTGGGCACTTAAGCCCTTTATTTCTCACTTGCTTCTCATGAGAAAGGAGATTATTATCTCCATGTTACAGATGAGGTAACTCATGGTCAGAGAACTGAAGCCACTTTCTTAGGTTTCCTGGGGAGATTTTAAATGCTTGCTGGGTGGGAAGCAAATTTCTCAGCCATCTTAAAACCTACTACCCCATCCCTGAGAGGGAAGGAGGCCAAGGACAGTGTAGGGATGGAATTTCTCCCAGCCATTGTGGGTTAGCTGTTCTCACCAGGGCCCAGGCCCTGCTCTCAGTGCTTAATAAAACCTGTGTGCTGTCTACACCTTAGAGAATGGCAGCTCCAGGCTCCCAGGAGCTCCAGCCAAAACTCTAGAATCATCTTTGACTCCTCCCTTTCCTCACACCCAAATCCAATCCATCAGCAAGTCCTGTCAGCTCAGCCTCGGAAATACATCCTGTATGCAACCTCACAGCGAGCTCCCTGCCTGAGCCACCATCGCTTCTCCTCTGGGTTATTGTACAGCTTCTCCCTGGTCTCCCCACGTCCTGCTTCTCCACCCCCCAAGTCTAATCTTCTCGGAGCAGCCAGGTAAATCCCGTTACCACATAACTTGGGTCCTGTCCCTCTTCGGCCCAGTACCCACCCATGGCTCCCACCTCACTCAGGGAAAAAGCCAACATTTTCCAGATGTCTAGCTTCCAGAACTGTGAGAGAATAATTTTTGTTGTTTTAAGCCACATGGTATGTTTTGTTTTTTAAAAAATATATTTTATTGTTTTTTTACAGAGAGGAAGGGAGAGAGATAGAAAGCTAGAAACGTCGATGAGAGAGAAACATTGACCAGCTGCCTCCTGCATACCCCCTACCGGGGATGTGCCCGCAACCAATGTACATGCCCTTGACCGGAATCGAACCTGGGACCTTTCAGTCCGCAGACCGACGCTCTACCGCTGAGCCAAACCGGTTTCAGCCACATCGTATGTTTTAAGCCACAGAGGAGCTTTGTACAGCATCCCCTACTTAGGAAGCAGGCTGCAAGCTGGTGTAGCCTGAGGCGGGATGGCACTAGCACAATGAAAAACACACATGCCCTTTGACCCCTCTCTCTCAGGCGGGCTTAAATATAGGTTCCATTCCACATGTTGGACACGGCAGCATTGTTTCTAGCAGAAAACATTTGGAAACAACCTAGATGTTCACTGATAGAGGGCTAAGTAATGCATCCTGGTGCAGTTACACTCTGAAAGTAGCCGAAACCGGTTTGGCTCAGTGGTAGAATGTCGGTCTGTGGACTGAAAGGTCCCAGGTTCGATTCCGGTCAAGGACATGTACGTTGGTTGTGGGCACATCCCTGGTAGGGGGTGTGCAAGAGGCAGCTGGTCGATGTTTCTCTCTCATCGACGTTTCTAGCTCTCTATCTCTCTCCCTTCCTCTCTGTAAAAAATCAATAAAATATATTTTTTTAAAAATCATCAGCCCAAGTGACCTCACAGACACATGCATCCATATGCAAATTGGTGGGCCTTCTACAAGCCCTTGGATAAGCATGTCACATGCATAGGTGTGCACCAACAGGCGTGTACATTATGATGATGTATGTCTGTAGACATACCGATAACTGTGTACTTGCACTTACTCTGCTATTGATTTTTTTCAGCAGCTACGTCTACTGAGCATCTACTACGTGCAAATAAGCAACGATAAGGCTCAGAGAAGTGAAGGGGCTTGCCAAAGGTCGCACAGCGGGTAGATAGGTGGGCTTCAAACCCTGGCCCTGGGGTGTTTGGACGTGCAGCCTGTCTCCATGGCTGTGCAGTTGTGCTCATGAATGTACAGATGTGGCCACGGTTGGATTCCCACATTGACGTTGACATTCCCTGTAACCTTGGACACATCACATCCTCTTCCAGGCCACACCCTCAGGTGTGCTCCGTGGGTGTGTGGTGATGAAACCAGTGACTCTGGCCTCCCTCCAAGTCAGCCTGGGTTGGTGTCACCAAGGGCTGTGAACTTCCTGTCCTGGCTCCGCCAAATCCCAGAGAACATGACTCAAAGCCAAGCCCTGGGCGCCAGGCCATCGGGAGCCCGGTGATGGAAGAACTCATAGGATTGCATGTGGTCAGAGCATGAAGGAGGAGGGAGGGAAACAGGATGTCCACGGGGGTGTGCACTTGGCAGGATCCAGGAACAGGGTTTGGCCTGGCAAGAGCTGCCAAGGCTTGGCATCTAATGGGGCACTCAGCACAGGCCTGCTGGGGAGAGTGGAGAGGGAGGGAGCAGGATGGACATCGCCTGGTGCTGATGCTGGAGGCCCTTGGTGAGCGAGAGAATGAATGGAGGAAGGGTGATAATGATGGATAGAGGGGACTGGAGTTATCTTCTCTATAAATCCTGAGTGCCTGCTCTCAGCTACCTTGTCTGGGCTCTGCGGAAGCTCGGCAAGCAGGGTGGACACGGCCCTGCCTTTGCAAAACTGAGAGTTCAAGTGATGCCAGCCAGACCGGGTGCAACGTGACTCAGCCAGTGTGAGCAATCACCAGCATGTCTGGGGGAACAAGAGGGTGCAAGAGGTGTGTGTGTGTGCGAGCACACATATGTGCCCAAACAGCCTGATGTCTGCCAATGTGTGTCTATTCCACACCCACGGTGAGCACACTACCTGCCTCAGTCCTGCCCTATGCCAAAGCTGCTCTTTCCACCACAGGACAAAGGCCTCCTTGGCCCAGAACTTGGACCTCAGCAGAGGCCCAGAGAGGCCCAGAGGCT